AGCTCTCTGTGTTGGTCTTTCAAGATAAGTTATTAGTACGACCGTATATTTGTAATGCATATTCATAACAAGTTCATGCATATTCATAAGTTTAAGCAGTTCCTGGACTCATGTTTTCTCACCTCAAATGTGCTTCCAGTCCTCTCCAACTCTGGAGGAACGAAACAGCCGTCAGGATCACCTGAGAAAAAAGGACAAAACAAGACAAATCAGCTAGATTCTTACACTCTCACAAACACAATCGAACATGAGTGATGCTTGTCCATGCAAAAGTCAAATATAAAAAATCATGAGCTAGAAAACACAAACTGATAATACGTGAATGAATGCAAATGCAACGCATGCTAAAGAGCAGTCAGACACAAAAGCGCAGAACGATAAAACGCTCCGGCGGTGATGTTTAATTGCACTGCCTTCATCAATAAGAGAGCGCTCTCTCTCTGTGAATAAGTGTGTGAGGTGCCGCAGTGTCTCGCTGTCTAACAGATCCTCCTCCAGACGCTTCTGCTGAAATAGGTCAGGCTTTCTCCTCCGCCAGATCCTCCAGAAACTCCTCAGGGTTACGCCGGCCGGTATATTTAGATCGCATGCGGCCTTTGAGAAACGAGCTGGAGGACCAAACCACTGCTTGTTTTTCTGTTGTTCTCATTCTATGAGACCTGAAGCAGATCTAGACCTGTTTTCGTGATGGTTTTGAACTTACATTTGTGATTTTACAGGCATAGAGAGAAGGGTTACACTGTAAAAAACACAATGTTTCATGTATTACAGGATGGCATATTGGTGCTGGTTTGTTTTACAACCAGGGCCAATAATTAAAACTCACCGAGCGTGAGTGAAAATCAGCGTTGGCGAGTATACAGTATGAAACGCTGCTGGCCGGACACTTTTTTGTAATTAAGTCTAACAATGCCTGAGAACATGACATGGTTTAGTGTGATGAGCAAATGTATGCGATCTGTTGTCTTCACGTGAGCCGCTCATGATAACAGTGTTTTCATTGATGAGATTGTAATGAGAAGTGTTTGAAAATCTGAACAAAAGAGAAGCATTTGAAAAGAGAGGTTTCTCTGCAGTTTTCCGCCAAAATAAAAGCTCTAGGCTTAACGTTTGAAAGCAAAGAAGAAGAGAAACAAAAGAAACGGAGCAATTCCAATAGGGTCCTCACACCATCGGTGCTCGGGCCCTAATAATAATAATAATAATAAAAAATAAAAAATAAAAAATGCAATGAGATGTGTTTCACAATTTGTTCTGTCGTTTTTTTTTTTTTTATGAAATGCACATACAGTTTCTTGGATGGTAAAAAAATATTTATGGCTGGTAAAGTTTTTACTCTTGACAGGTGTGGCAAAATGTTCGTTTTAGGCCCTGTTTACAACTTCCAACATAAAATGCAACACAAAACACCTAAATGAACATTATTGGTAACAAAAATCAGAAACAAAACTATTTATATAAAATATAATCCTATGTGACGTGTCACCCAAGGATTTCTGGGAATGTCCTTTTACTGTTTTTCATAGTAAATTTATATGGTAATTGATAGTTTTTACTTGCAAAAACCCTAAATTTGACAGACTTTTACAGTAAAATTACAGGTAACACTTTACAATAAGGTCCCAGTAGTTAATGCATTAACTAATATTAACAATGAGAAATACATTTGTTTTTTATTCACCGGAGGAAGCATTATTATGAACTATTTTAGGATGGATTTGTTTCAGCTTTTGTCTTCTCCAGATGTTAACTGATGGACTGGAGTGCTGTGGATTACTTGTGGATTATTGTGATGTTTTTATCAGCTGTTTGGACTCTCATTCTGACGGCACCCATTCACTGCAGAGCATCCATTGCTGAGACACTGATGCAATGCTACATTTTTACAAACCTGATGAAGAAACAGATCTTGGATGGCCTGAGGATGTGTAAACCAGCAAATTTTCATTATTGGCTGAACTATTCGTTTAATAATGTGTTTTACAGTGGTGGGAGGGTGTCGTATCTGTTAAACGTTATGCAAACGAATGCATCCATTATCTACACAATGGCACAGCATGTCACACATGTGAAAATCCCACTTATGAAGAAGCCAGGGAGACGGTGACTAACACGAGCGCTGAGTGATGGATTGACTCATGCAGCTGGTGACTCACCGTTGAGCTGCTCCATGAAGCACACATTACCGTGAGCGTTGAAGGCCAGCGTGTCGGGCGTCACGCAAAGGGTGTGAAAGAGCGGCGAGAGGCCGATGCTCTGGAGAGAACGAACACACTCCACACACACCGCCCACAACTCCTGCTCTGACAGCCCACCGTCCCGCAGACACAGAATATCAGCCAGAGACACGTTCTCCTGAGGATGGAGAGCACATACTGTCTCATGCATGCACAAACACACACATGCATGGGTTCAAACGTCTTTGAAAACTAGTGAAAACATGTTTGCATTTTTCTAGTTTAATGCAAAAAAATGCACAAATTATTTTAACAGCATAACAGTAAAAGTCAAATGCAAGTGAACACAAAGCCACATACTAGCAGTCAAAAGTTATAGGAATAATTAAGATTCTTTAGTATTTTTGAATACTTCTGCTCACCAAGGCTGCAATTGTTTGATCAAAAATACAGTAAAAATTGTGAAATATTATTACAATTTAAAACAGCTGTTTTCTATGTGAATATCTGTTAAACTGTAATTTATTTCTGTGATCAAAACTGAATTTTCAGCATCATTACTCCAGTCTTCAGTGTCACATGATCTTCAGAAATCATTCTAATATGCTGATTTGCTGCTCAAGAAACATTTCTGATTATTATCAATGTTGAAAACAGTTGTGCTGCCCGATATTTTTGTGGAAACCGTGATGCATTTTATTTTTCAGGATTCACCGATGAATAGAAAGTTCAAAAGAACAGCATTTATTTGAAATATAGTTTTTTGTAACATTATAAATGTCTTTACCGCCACTTTTTCATTACTTGAAATAAAAGTTAAAGGGGTCATATGATGTGATTTCAAGTTTTCCTTTCTCTTTGGAGTGTTACAAGCTCTTGGTGCATAAAGAAGATCTGTATAGTTGCAAAGACTAAAGTTTCAAATCCAAAGAGATATTCTTTATAAAAGTTAAGAGTCAACCACACCTACCTAAAACTGCTCGTTCTAACACGCCATATCTACATATATACATATCTACGTCACTATGTGGAAATATTAGCATAATGCCACCCAAAATGTGCACGCAAAGAAAGAAGGCATGGTTTCAGGAACAGCAGTAGTGTTGATGCAGCATGTCAGGGAGACGCTGTGTTTCAGTGCGAAAGCAAAAGCACTTTATTTGGCCTTCCGGAAGGCACTGTGTCAGCTGGCCAATCAGAGCAGACTGTGCTTGTCAAAGGAGGGGGCTTTGTTGAAAACGACGTGTTTAGGAGAGGCGGGGCATAGAGGACCTACAATAAAGTACAGTATTTGAAAAATAATGTGTTTTTTGAACATTAAAGCATGTCAACATATTCTGTTACACCAAATACACAAAATAATGATCTTTAAAATAGCATCATATGACCCCTTTAAATGAAATAAAATAAAATATAAAACACTTTTTATTTAAGTTAGTTGGCAAGGAAACATTTCTCATTTTAATTTAGTTTAACTTTATGTACTAAAATAAGTAAAACTAAAACTTAAATAAAATGTAAAATTACATAGACAAAAAAAATTAAATTACTAACATTTTAAATAAAACAGACAAAATATTAATAAAAACTATAACAGTATCTCAATTATACTAAAATAACACTGCAGCTTTGATCACAGCAATAAATTACATTTTAAAATATATTCACATAGAAAACAGCCATTTTCAATTATAATAATATTTTACTATTTTTACTGTATTTTTTATCAAATAAATGCAGCCTTGATGAGCAGAAGAGACTTCTTCCAGACACATTAAAAATCTTAATTCCAAACTTTTGGCCAGTACTGTACACACACACACACACACACACATATAGTAAAAATCCAAGATCTCCATAGCGACCTATTCACTCCAGTGGAATATTTCATGGATTACAAAGCACTTATTGTAACACCCTCTTATAAGTTCCGCTATGATGTCAGTAGAATCTGTACATCATTGTGTTCAATTTCGTGAATTCATTTCCATGAGGAATGTGTGTTTGGCAGATGTGTGAAGGACAGCTGTGTGTTTACTGTATGCTTTCCTCTACAATCAGGTCTAAACTACATTTGCACATGCTCTGAAGAAAACGTCACTAACATGACGCTGGAACATTGTTATGCAGTTACTAATGTGTTTACAAACCAAACTCCATACATACAGTTCTCTTTTTTTATCCTTCATAAGGAAATAATCAAATCGTGACGAGATAAGAGGCATCTTCACAGATGGGAGTCATAAGCAGACTTACTGCAAGATCCTCTTTGGAGACTTTTGAGTCACTGCATAATCTGCTTAATAAATAGCAAACGAATATTCTGCTGCTTCAGATGGATCTGATTCAACAAATCTCTGATCCAAAAACAAGCTCATCTCAGTGATGATGTCATAGTCCAGAAGAAGGTCATAGAGATGCTTTAACAAATGTCTTTTGTGCTTCTTTTCATATCGGCAGCATGTTTAACTAGAAACGGCACATTCGGATTTTCCATTGCTATACTATTTTATTTAGGTCGAAACTTTCCGTGTAAACACTTTTTCTGTAAACATTTCCACAGACTCCAGTTTGATATTTGTTAGGATATTCTTCCTGTTTTAAGATATTTGGATGTTCACAATACAAAATAAGTTTGATTTAAATAAGTTAATGAATAATTAATAGAAAATTAGGTTAATTAAATTAATAAATAAACATTACATTAAAATAAACAAATAAAAGCTAAATATTTTCTAAATGTTATTACATATTTTCATAGTATAAATTTTGTATTATTAAAGATGCCTTAAAATAATCAAAAATGAGATCAAAATAAATAAATAAACATTAGATTACAATGAACAAAAAATTGGTAAATAAATTGAATTTAAAACATTGAATAATTTTTTTTTATTAAAATAAATAGAGTACAATAACAGTACAAGTATGAAAAAAAACATGTAATAAAGTAAATTAATAGAAACTAAATATTTTCCAAATAATATTATATTAATATTCATTTTCATTTCACAGTAAAAATCAGATCTTTTGTACTACACAAATGCCTTTAAAATAATCCAAAATAAATAAAACATTAGATTAAAATAAACTATTAGATTAAAATAAAGTAGTAAATAAACAAGAGTAAATAAACAAATAATAATAGATCAAAATAAATAAAAAAAAAAGATTTAAACAAATAAATTAGTGCTTTAACATATAATAATATTTTCCAAATAATATTTTAATCATATTTATAGCATAGATTTTTCACAGTGTAATTTGGGTCTTTATACAAGCACCTATTATAGATGCCTTTATAATTTTAGGATGGAGTTCTCTCGCATGATCATATGATGATAAATAATTGAAAACCCCTGTCGTGACACACTCTTGTACATGTTTTTAGAGTACATCACTGTATATTAAATAATAATTTGTAGTATATCCCTAGGTATTAGTTGAAGTACTTCATTTTTACAGTAGCGGTTCTAAAGTTTAATACTCTAGTTAAAGTTAATGCTGTAATTATGTGATGCCCATATTTCTATGCTGGCTCTCAGCATCCCAGCATGCACTGCGGTGTAAATAAATGATACGGCTGCACTGTTTTTGCTGTTGTGTGTTTTATGTTGTCACTTTTAGTTACTGCAACACAACAGACTAACACATGAATAAAAAAAAGACAAACAGCATATGTTTATACACCAATAGAGAATGAAACTCTTCACTGGAGCTGAATAATAACGTGTTTATAGGGCATAAAGTTGCCATCTCATGCAGCTGTAATGGCACGAGCCCGTAAATAGACAATCTCCCGTGAGAACAGAGCATTTCTCCTCAACCTCCCTACAATCTCTCTTCACCCTCCCTACAATCTCTCTCTCACACACACACACACACACACACACACCTCAGGAAGTTCACAGCAATCCTCACAGAGAAACAGAGAGTCTGATCTCGACCTCTGATCGCAGACACAAACTCTGAATCACAACACAGTTACATCATGAGATTGTGTGTGCTTATAAGTGGGTCATGAGAAGTGATCTTTAACGGGATCTCGGTAAATTATTAAGTTTTTGTTCCTCGGGTGGAGTTGAAATATTCACTATTATTTCTAATTTTTACATAAAATATATTCTCCAAACAAATGCGCCATGTTTTCAACCCATAAGCTAACCCAGTTGGTATTACCATAGAATGATGAAAAAAAAGAGAAAAGGAAATATTTGTATGCAAATATATATTTTTAATACTCTCTCTCTCTCTCTCTCTATATATATATATATATATATATATATA